ACAGCGATAGAGTTCATGCACTAAACAGTCTTACGAAAATTGGTTGAATTTTATAAATTCATTAAAATTTGAAATAATGGGCTGCACCTTTAAGTTATACAAGAACGTGTTTGTGCACTTAATTAATATAATTACAGATATTATAAATGTGCTTGAGAGATATAATTTGGAAATTGCAATGCTTAGTTTTTAGTGAAAGCGAAAACTTTATTTTCAGAATAAGTTATTGTAAATTTTTTACCTAAATACTACACATATCAGAAGTCCATACAACTTGCTTTAAGACAAAATACCACTCACACCTAGTTGCATTTTGATTTTTATGGAACACTTTTGAAACCCCCTCAATTTGGATTTATAATTCTTAGCAAACACAATAAATGCATCTTCTTATATTTCGATTCATATTAACAATTATAATAGAAGCACTTTTCTAATTAGATACATTTTTAAAACAGTAACACTATACCTTCCGTGAAAAAAGTATCTGATTTGTGAGAATCTCGAAATAAATTACACGTTTTTACTCTTTCCTCATATGTAAAAAATCCAGTTAACAATCTCGAAACATTTTAAACTATGTCACCTAACAACACGGGTGGCCGAGATAAAAAAAATTAATTCTTCTCGAAAAAAAAGTTCATTTCAACTCAACACGTAGATTTATGTGAGACCTTTTCATCGTGCTGTCAAGAAACCCATTTGGTGGAAAAAATGGTAAAAAAGAGTAAAAAATATTTTAAACATAACTAAAATTCTTAAGAAAATTGTGATGCTTTAAATTAATTTTTTCATACAGGATTCATTGATTTTGTAGCATTTGTCAATTGAATAAGTAGTATGAAATTATATTACAACAAAATAATTTATTGCTATCAAAACAAGCCCAGTAGCAACTAACATTCCTTCAGTAGACCATACCTATGGGTTGGTTGACTTTCTTAATGATACAGAATTTATTTTGAAATCACATACTTACACAAATCAAACAGTATTGAATGTAAAATTAAAAATAATTAATAGATAAAATTAATAGATATTATTATTATCTTTCAAATTATTCGTATGTCTATCAATTCAAATCCATTTACAATTAGAAAGTCTCGACTCGACTTCTTAATCTTACAGCTTTATATTCTTCTATATTTCAATTCAATATTATCTATAAGATATAAATTAACACATCACATGAGCCCACTCGTATCTTATCTTATCTTCAATCAATAATAATCGATATGCTTGACGAATTTTATCAATCAATTAAATTACAATAGTCATATATCGATTTTCTTTATCGATAACTTGTTCGGAGAGTCGTTGGTGTCAAGAGACACCTAGTGGGATAGTTGGGGTCAAATTTGTAAAAACTTTTTGTAAGAAGAATTTTTTTAACTTCCTGTTGGAAAGACCGTTTCTTTAAAATTAGTAGAAAATTTTTGGACTACCCTTTCAGAACAAATTTTGAACAAGTTTGGAAGTATAAAACCTTTTGAAAGATATCAGTTTGGGGTTGTACTAACTATTAGTTAGATTTTGATGAAACTTTAAGTGATGATTTAAAAAATGGCCTAAATTACAGGTTCCCAAACTTTTTAGTCCACATGGACCACATTGGGAATCACTGGTCTAAACGAACATGATCGCATTCCTACAACTATCTTAAGACAAAGTTTCGCCTTCAACTAGTTACTTTAGTAGTTCAATATTAGTCTCAAGTAATATTATTTTTTTACTTTTCCACCAGATTTCATACTATTTTCAAGACAACATAAATCATATGTGCTGGAATAGATATTTAATTGGTTATGGTGCGTAGGAATGATATAGACGACTCGAACTAGTTAATAAATATTGTTTGCTGGTAAAGGAAGTCACGTCAATTGTTTTCTGATAAAATAAAAAATCACAATTACATCCTGGTGAGAGAAATATAACCAGGGCAGTAAATTAACCATAGATTACATAGTACTGAAGATTTTTTGTTATATTATTATTGTATGTGCGAATTAAGTCTCTCCTTTGATTAACTCAGGTTGTTAGTTTTTAATTTAACCTTTGTAGCTGTAGCCTGTATTAAACACTGATTTGTTGGTATAATTTATGTATTTGTTGCATATCTTGTTACAATCACTGATTTGTCACAATATTATAATTAAAAAAGTTAAATTTATTTAATATTTACTACATATGTTGTTACGCGGACTTTAGTTTTAGAAGTGAACAATTAGTTCCATCTAAATCCCGCTACCACCCCCTCTACAGGGTGGACTTTACAACCATTCGGTGTAAAAGCTCAATGCCATGAAGATTGTCGTCTTCGTGGCCAATATCATAAAATGAAAATAAGTGCAAGTAATTATATTAATAGCACTTAAGTAGTCTATGAAGAATTGTGCTCAAGTATAGGGTGTCCCAGAAAATCCTGAAAATCATGAAAATATTAAGAAAAAAAATATCTCACGTTGTTTGTAAATTTTGAGCTTTTAAGAGCATTCTAGAGCTTTGTTGAAATTATGACAAGTTTTTAGTTATTCTGGTTAAATTTTATTAACTTTATTCAATCAAACTTAGGAACAGTAAAAATAACAAAAATAACAAAATTGCAAAAATTTTTCAAGAAATTTCTTTTAAACTATGATTTTTTTTAAAACAGTCGACTTTGAGATGCTTTCCTTCAAAAAAAAAAATACTGAAGTGTGTTGGCAAGATTTATCAAAAATTGGCGCATTTAATCAGGATTATAAAATGGTAACATACTTAATATTACTAAAAAATTTGGAGTGGAAATTACATTTCTTAATCAACCACTATAGTTACATTTTCTAGAATAAGGTTTGAACAATTTTGTGCAACTCTGAACATTTTCTAAATTTTTCCTGAAATTTTCAATTACAAATTTCAATATAACAAAATAAATAATAGATAATGATATAAATAAAAATGTTTATTGATAAAAAATATCGTTTAAATTAAGAATCAACAATTCATGTAGACTATACGAAGTCTTTGTACTTTTTTGGCATTTTCAATTTCATAGCTTTTTATAATTTTTTTTTAATAAAAAAACTTAGTTTTTCTATTTTTAATACAAAAATGTATAAACAAGAATTAATAATTTAAAAAATACATTCAGAATGTTTTAACTTACTCATGTAATATAAATACTTACACGCTAATTACACCTAACTTATGAATTACTAAGGAAAAAATACGAATTATGAATAAACATTTTTACAAAATTTTATATAATAAAAACTTAATAAATAACACACGTTCATATATCAAACATAACCTAAAAAATGGATCCTTCAATCCTTTAACAAACAATCACTGATTTATTACAAACTCTTCCACTATTTTGAATCCTATTTTATAAAAATACTGTTTTCTTAAAATTTAATTTCGTGCTTTTCTATTTTTATCTTATAAAAAAATTTTGAAAATCTTATTTTTTACATAGCAGGAAAGCTCAAGGTACGTCAAATTTTTGTATTTTAAGTTCATGCAATTAAGTTAACGACGACATGAACTATACATAAATATTTAATAAATACTTATTGTAGTTAAAAAAAATATATTAACAATTTTATTTTGGAATTAAATCTAATTATTCTTATAAACTAAACTCATGTCATGACTTTTCAGGTTTAAGTACAAATAAGCACAAATTTTAGGCGTTCTTATTAAATATCAATCTTAAATTACAATATTTTATTACATTTCATGTACGTTTCGATTTCAATATTTTTTGCGTTTTTTCAATTTTTAGTATAAATAAATAAATAAATAATGCCCTAACACAACATTTAACATTTTATTTAAAACAAAATCACAAATGCTTGTGTATGAACAATACACAATAATAATTGTGTAAGTTAAAATAATAGCACAATTTTTTGAATAATATGAATTATAGAGTACATAGTGTAAATTTCATTTTGAAAAATTTTACAATCTATTTTGGCACAATTTTGCATATCACAAAAATCTGCAACTCGTTTGCAAAATATAATATTCTACAAATAGATAAGAGAATGATTATTAGAGGAAAATTTGTATAATTTAATATTATAAGTATAAATTAATGAAAAGTCGCGCAGAATCTGTTTTATTTCTTTTACTTTTCTGGTGATGTTGATTTATTATTCATAGAAATTTGCATTGAAAATCTTTTGTTTTACAATTGAGTATCATTTGAATAAAAGAACAATTGCTTGCTTTGGTTTAATAATCATACTGCCCAAGGAAATATTTATTTAGTTTTTTTTTTCAATATTTAGTACGAAAGGAATATTTATTATTCATTAAGTATTTTTACCAATAATACAATTGTTACAAATGATTGGTAGAGTATCAATATTTGTATTATTAAGATTAATTTAGATTTTATTAAGTAACTATGAATATTTCAAATATATCTTTCCAAAACGCAAGCGAATTATATAATTCATTAATTGAGCTGAGTTATTTATCAAGACAAACTCCTGATTTTAGTCTTTATTACTTTTTTCTGAAAAAATGCTAAGCTGTTTATAAGTAAATTTGTTTTATAGTTTTGGAAAATTATGAAAACTGTCTTCATCTTCTGGTGTACAAAATCCTAGATTGTAAAAGTGGAAAATATGAATTGAAAGTATATGTTTGTGTGTATGGATATAATGTCCATTACGTAACTGTTTTGATTTTTAAATTAGAAACTCAGATTCTTTATTTTATATTGTTTTTTTTTTTTTTTTAAAAAAAATCTTACTGCTTAAACAAAAATGTTCTTTACTATGTAGAATATCACATATGCAAATGTGTTGTTCAAACCAATAGATCTAAATATAGGGTACGCTCTTTAATCAAACAATTCTCCACTTTTCATTCTTAAATTAAATTTGAACTCTTCTCAAAAATCTTAACAGTCAATAGATAAACATAACTTAAGTAGAAATATCCAAAAACTTAACGAGCGGTGTTGACAAAGTAACAACGAATGGTGGTAAAAAATGCTTCTGTCACTGTTCCGTTTTTATGTAAGATGCAATTTGTGGCATAACTATACCAGCTTTACTGTCGACAGGCGAAGTTGTCGAAGCAACAACTTGGACAGTCATGTTCCCATTATTACCATTGCCTCCGTTCTCGTATCTGGCATGAGTTCGCATATGGCGTGTGATCATGTCCCTTCTGCAAGCTGCATAAGGACACTGAGGACACTTGTAAGGCTTTTCTCCTGTATGTGTCCTTTGGTGGGTGCTCAAGTGGTCACTCCTCGAGAATACTTGCCCACAGGCTTTGCAAGTATAAGGCTTAACACCGGTGTGCAGACGCATGTGTCTTGTCAGCATATCACTTCTGGCAAAAGATCTTCTGCAGACTTCGCACAGATAAGCTTTTGCTGGAGTCGGAGTTCCCCCTGATGATGAATCCGCAGTAGCTTTTCTCTTGTGCCTGGAAGCCATGTGTTTCGCCAACCGATCGTGGAGACTGAACATCTGGCCGCAAACTGGACATACGTAAGCGACGTCGGAGCCTGGAGGCATTTCCTCGACTACTGGTGATACTTCTAAATGGTACCTGGTTGCGACTGATTGTTTGGTGGTGGGAGATGCTACATCCCCTCTGACTATCACAGGAGATGCGTATGAGTTCATGAGCTTAGTATTTTTCACAGATAAATCCAGGGGATGCTCTTGTGGTGGTGATTCGCAGAAACCAGTTGCAATATATTTCGAATGCAGATAATATTCGAAACTGTAAGGAGACGGTGCTGGAAAGTATCTGTCGTAGGGATTGCCAAAACGCATTTGTGCCAAGGAATGATGTATACCTCTGGCACAATGAATGCAAGCACACGGTTCCGTCTTGACAATGCCAGGACTGTATCCACCTGGATTCGAATCTTCAGCATCAGAAGGTTCCACATTGTTATTATTAGCACTAGCTATATTATTATTGTTGAGATGTTGCGTCGTGGCCAACGTCAATTTATCCAAAACCTGAGACAACCTTTTACGTTTTCTCTGTTGTTTTACTTGTGGTATGGGTGTCATTGATACATTGTCCAAATCATGGTGAGATATGATGGAATCATGGGCCAAAATCGTGTTGTGATCAGCGGCCAGCGGGTGGTTGTTATTCTCCCGCTTGCACTCATGTTGAAGCAACTCTGCCATAGTCATCAGGATGAAATTTTGGCGCCTGGATACGGCGCGCACTGTTGTTCGGACTCGAAAGTAATTTTCAAAAAAATACGCGGGCGGCCAGCGGGATCTGCAACAAAAGAAAAAAATCAATTATAAATAAACAATGGAAGGCATAAAAAAAATGAAACACATTGCCACTAACAAATTACTTAGGTTTGGTGTGTGGTTTAGATATAGAAATAAAAAAAATAAAACATTGTCAATAAATTTTACATTAGTAATAGAATTTCAGAGACTTTTATGAAACTTTCAGTATTTAATTATTTATCAATCGATTAGCGAATGCTTTTTCTTTCGATGAATCTTCATGCCGACCAAATGCAATTATTCATGTGTTCGGAAAATAATTTTGCAAAAAACGGAGATAATTCTTGGATGCTCTCTCGCCACAGGTGCCCATAAACAAGCAACTCTTTGATTTCTATCGTTTGAAGAAGATTCGCATGAGCGGCGTGAAGAATGATCACGAATCATAAACAACAAAACGAGATATGAGAGGAAAAAAACAAAAAAATGAGAAAAAGCTGGAAATTAACAATCCAAGTCTTCCGGCAACATCGAGAATGCAGTCGTAGAAACAAAATCGCTAAAGAGTTGGAGAATCATTTAACTCAAATTGAAATACTAAAATTAAAAATCTATTGGATAAAATTCTGAACTCTATATTGCTTTAATTTTATTTTTCAATATACGGGTCAGCAAATATATTACAACAGTTCACATAAATCCAACGGAAACTCTCTGGTCTGGAAATATAAGTTTCTTCTTTTTTCAGCAGTTTTCATTTGGGAATTGGCGCGTAAACCATAAAGTATGCGAGGGAGGAAAAACCAACCGACTGGATTTTAACTAAAATTTATGTCATGGCTTTTAGTGAATCAGAATGATATAATAGATACAAGAGAACATATAGAAAGAGTTAATAAAATGTTGAATTAAGTTAACGATTGCTTTTATTTATCAAACTTGAAAGTATTTTTCCTCGAATTAATATTTAATATCTAGTACAAATCTGGAACAAAATCTAAAAACTGCATTGCGTCATTTTGGGGGTGGTGCAATTTCCCTGTGCACATGCTTTTCCGAGTTTTTGCAAACTTTTTCTTCTTGTTTGACAGTCAAGTCTTTTATTTCTTAACGTTGCACTTTGGCAAAGTGCGCACAAGAGCCATTACATGAATATTTGATAGAAAAAACGACAAAAGCTATATTGCATGAATTTAAATATATAGCAAGGCAGGTTAATGATCAAATAGAAATTCTATAAAATTTAGAAATTATGATCGTTCTAATCTCAATTGGGTGGCATACTTTTATTGATAAAAGACTTTTATTACATCATATATTTTACGGACCATATATCTTTCAGACAAATCTTCAACCATTAATTAATGGACAACGGTACCAAAAAAAATCGAATCCACTCAAAAACGCCGCTCTGAAGTAAAATGTTTTAGGCCTCCCAGATTAACATTTTTACAACAAAAGATACTACTAATAAACCGATTTAAACAAATTTACAACTTGGATGAGACTTATATGGATATTGACATGTATTAAATATGTAGGCAGCTCATAAAGAAGAGGAATGAATAATTCCGAGATAAAAGAATGGATCAGACTAGTCCGCATTTAATCAGCTAAATCTCAGAGAAGATTTTATGATCCAATTGATCTCATCGTAAAAATAAAAATACAAGTGAATGTTGGATATATATATATATATATATATATATATTAGGGTGGTCCTTAATATAAAATTTTTCGAATTTTCTTGCTCCCAAGGACTCAAATGGTTCCAAATTGGTAAAAAACAATTCACTGAAAGTTGTAGCTCTTAATATTGTCTTTTAGATAGAGCGCAATTCAATCAAAGTTTTGTATGGAAATAGCATGGAAAATTTTTCAAAAATTTTGCAGAGCGTCGAGTTTTCAATAAAAAATGACACGAACTTTCAATTTTAATTCATTTGTCGCTAAGTTATACTTAAAAAAAATATTTTTAATTTTCAAAAATTTTTCCATATATATATATATATATATATATATATATATAAATGATAAATAAATGCTCGACCTTGTCAACTTTTTATACCATTTTTAGGGTTAAGGTTTAAATATTTCAATCACTACAAAAGTCATAAATAGTAATAAATGCCATTTTAATTTACAACAAGTCATTAGCAATTTTTCGCCTCTAGTTTCCTAATTGATGCAACTAATTTAATAAACAATAATGATTAAATAGTTATTACAAACAATCCTATAGTACTATCTCATTGCCTCATTGTGTCATTGACAAACACGTCATGTTTCCAACAATTACAATGAAAGTCAAAGATCGACAATTGTTGTTAATTACCTTTGTTTATAAATTATAAGATTGTCGTATGAATAATACAGGTGCAAGATTTTAATACAGGTATGAGATAGGATGTCGATAGCTGGGTTAAGGCGAAGGACAGCTGGAAGAGTGTCGGCGTGGGACTTTGAATTCAAAATGAAAATTTATAATAAAAATATAGCTATATATCATATTTTTAGGAAAACCGATATATGTATATATATTAGGGTGGTCCTTAATATGGATGTTTTTCTAGCTCCCAAGGGCTCAAATGCTTCCAAATTGTTAACAAAAAATTCTCTGAAAGTTTTAGCTCCTAATATTAACTTTAAGCTAGTGCGCAATCAAACCAAAGTTTCTATGTAAATAACATAAGCAAAATTCCATTTGTTTTATAACGTAGCGACAAGTGAATCAAAATTTTGAGAATATTATTGTATTTGCTTTTATTGATCATGAATAAAAAAGGAAGAAGAACCAAGAAACTTTAAGAGCTAATACTATCAGAGGTTTTTTTTAACAATTTGGAAGTATACAAGGTATCTCAGCACTCAACATCAAGTAGAAACGGGGTGATAGTAATTCGTCGTAATTCATAGAGAAGATTTATCTCACGTAGTTCAAAAGTTATGGGCTTTTGCATGCACCAACAATTTGTGTATAATTTTTAAATTTTTATTTTTTAACTCAATTTTTTTTAGTAAGTATTTTATCATTTCACAATCCTGATTAAATATGCCAACTTTTGATGGAACTTGCTAACACACTTTAGTCTATTTTTTTTAAAAGGAGCTCTTAAAGTCGACCAATTTTGAAAATTTTGAAAGTTGTACCACCCTGATTGAATGCGCCATCTTTTGATGAAATTTGCCAACACACTTTGGAAATATAATACTTAGTCTTGAATATTTGGTGATAATGTGTCATTATTTTTGACTGTGGTTCAAGAAAATTCAATTCAAGAAAAACGATCACCCTTCCAAAATTTAAATGAACAAAATTAATAAAAAATAACCATAATAAATAAATAAATAAATAAATAAATAATAACCGAAAAATGTTCTCGATTTCACCAAAGCTCTGGATTGCACTTAAAAGCTCATAATTTTCGAACTACGGAAAATGATTTATTTTATATTTTTTTATGTTAATTAGTATTAATACTATCACCCTGTCAATTTTTTGGTTATTGTGGTCAATTTTTATTAATTTTGTACATTTAAGTTTGGGATCCTTAACCGTAAATAACATTTCTAGGACCAATAGAATATAATGACACAATTGCTTCAAGTTTTTAAAAATTAAGATTTTTTCTTGAATTATGAACTTAAAATTCTCGAAATTAGACAACTTTTAAAGGTCATTCTTCAAAAAAAAGTTCTAAAGTGTGTTGAGAAGTTTTATCAAAAGTTAGACTAAATCATATTTGTAAGATGGTAAAATTGATAGTAATTAAAAATGAAGTAAAAAAATAAATTATATTGTATTATTTTACACATATATTTTTATATATTTTCCTTGGTACCTCTAAAAGTTGGTATATCAAATTTTTAATCAATTTTTGACATTATCTAGTTCAATAAATTTCATCCATTACTTCCAATTAAAACTGTCTTTAATTTTTTCCATCTGTCATTTCCAATCGCGTGCCCAGGTAGCTCTCGCTACTTAGGACAGGTGCAATGCATACCTGATGAAATTAAGAACCCGCATGGCATCTTCTTCGTCTTTTCGAAAATAATATTATATTTAACAACAGACCAGTTGTGGCATTGGTCTCGTCTTTTCACCTTTGGAAGACACGACACACATGTGGGGCGCCTTTGGTAATAATTTAGCAACGCGAGAGAAAAAGATAAAGGAAAGATGTATTAATAATTTTAGATACTTGTGCACAATTGTAGTAAAATTCGATTTTATTAGAGAGCTTCCATGTATCACGTGATCGATTTTTTAGTGATTTTTGCCTCCCCCCCTCCACCTTGGATATACGTTGTGATATTTAAAATTACCCCCCCCCTCCTCTGCCAAACATCTCTATTTACGAAACATTTTTCGAATTTACTAAAAAAAATGTAATATTTTTGTTTTTTTTTTGTAAATGTTTAATTTTTTTTAAAAATCAGGTAAACATATGATATCTTACTACACCCCACCTTCCCCCTAGTTGATGTTTCATAATTTTTTATCAACTGGCATTTTATCAGTTTAGTCAAACTTCAGTTCGTCAGTAGAACCCAAGAGTTTAGTTACCCTTACACAATGGTCCACAAGCCTATTCATAATATATCACTGTCAATCTGATCCAACTTTTTTCTATTTTTTATTCCAAAGATAACATCAAACTATTTACTACTAATAGCTACAACTTTTTTTTAATATGGCACAAAATATCGTGATCATTCAACGATACCAGCCTTGATTGCTTTACGAGCGGCACGCTCAACATTCCTAAGAGACTTCACTATTTTTTTTATTAAAGATATCTGTTCATTTTCTATCTATGTTGGAGTTGTAATTGAAACGTATTGATGTCAAGAGCAATTCATGACCAGTTTAGATAAACAATTGCACCATGTACATCTCCGACCATAATTCCTTATCACTGGTTGCACGGATTTTTTCTCCAAAAATGGACAGAACGAATAACAATTGATGTCAAAGAACTTATAGTCATTGGACTGATTTTTTAATGAAATTTTATACTTTGTGAATATATATAA